TTTGTTGTTGTTTACACCATCAGCTGAGTAAACTAGGTGATAGAAGGTCATGTGTTTAGCCAGAGCGAAAAGCACCTGGCACAATTTACTCACATGCTGTGGCCAAAAGCAGGATGGGACAGGAAATTGTGGGGGTGTGAATGTAAACATAAACCGCTGTGCACATCAGTGTAAGTAGCCTCCATCACGGTCTCTGTCACCTGATCGCACCAGAACAGGTTCTTTTTTTGTCCTGCTCGCTGTTATTTTTCCTAAGAAGGATATTAACAAACAATATTCCCTGAATGCCGTGTCAGCCCGCCCTGCTGTAAGGTTTTTGTGTCAAAGTTCATTCTGATTCAAATATTAGTAAAAAGGGAAAAATATCAATTATGTTCTGACTCATCCTGAAGTCTCTCGTCCTGCGTCAAACATAGATGAATGGAAAGTGACGTTTGACTTAAGATAAGAGATAAGATAAGATAACTCTTTATTGTCATTGCACAGTCATACATAGTACAATAGTACAATGAAATTGGAAAACTGTCCTACGTCGGCACTACATATAACACAACACGACACGATATGACACAAAAAAGAAGAAGAAGTGTATTTGTATTGCACACTGTTATTCAAATACACTTCTTCTTCTTTTTTTATTACTAAGTTATTATACTGTGTTGTGTTGTTTGTGTTGCGTTGTGATGTGTCATATCGTGTCGTGTTGTGTTACTGTGTTGTTTGTGACTTGACTGTAAATAAAAGATGGACATGTTTTGGGACCAGAAATGACTGCAGCTGGACAAGAGGAGCGCTAAGTTTCCAGCTAACACCTAAAGCTTGTTTAGCAATCTGCATCTGTAGCTTTTATGGCTGCACAAATACCAGCTGATTAGTATTAGGCAACATTCGGATAAATTTGAATTTCACTCATCAAATGTCTCGGTGCATCTTTATCGAGAAACCAGCAACACAAACACACAGGAACTCGTTCATTCATTTTCTTTTCTGCGTTTACAGAAGTGCACAGTCTGCACGCTTTAGTTCATTTTCAAATAACTTGCATCAAGTATGTAACGAGATATAGAAATAAATATGGAAGGAAGTAAAGAAATATTCATGTCCCATTTCTGAGGTTTGAGCAGGAGACTGGATCAAGTCTGCTTGGATCAGATTCTGCTTGTTGTGGCCGCGGGTTACAAATGACGCTCAGCACTTTGAAGTTGTTTATTGTGCGTCTTTCATCAACGGCTGTTTACCACGAAATTTAATTTTAAGAAAATGCTGTATGGTTTTTGTGCGTGATGAAACTGAAATAAAATCCATATGTACTACATAAATCTGGCCCACTTTATTTCCCAGTCACAGCGTGGTGATAATTGGCACTGCAGTTTGTCAGACACAATTGAGATGTAACTAATAACAGACGAATAGCTTCAGGGAGTAAATATCACAGTTTAGAGCTGTATCCAAACTGGCTGGCCTGCAGGCCCCTGTGGTTACTGATAATTCTCTAATTGCAGACATGCCATGACAAGCAGCATTTTTCAGAGTCTTTAAAGTTTTACTTTAGGAAACATCTTTTGTTGTGGACAGAGGAAATGAGTCCTTTCTATCCTCGTGTACTTTATACAAGCATTGCATTGATGAAATACACGTAAATGAGCTCACATAAATC